GAAAACAACTTTGGGAGCAATTATTAGGAAATGGAAGACATACAAGACCACTGATAATCTCCCTCGATCTGGGGCTCCACGCAAGATCTCACCCCGTGGGGTCAAAATGATCACAAGAACGGTGAGCAAAAATCCCAGAACCATACGGGGGGACCTAGTGAATGACCTGCAGAGAGCTGGGACCAAAGTAACAAAGCCTACCATCAGTAACACACTACGCCGCCAGGGACTCAAATCCTGCAGTGCCAGACGTGTCCCCCTGCTTAAGCCAGTACATGTCCAGGCCCGTCTGAAGTTTGCTAGAGTGCATTTGGATGATCCAGAAGAGGATTGGGAGAATGTCATATGGTCAGATGAAACCAAAATATAACTTTTTGGTAAAAACTCAACGCGTCGTGTTTGGAGGACAAAGAATGCTGAGTTGCATCCAAAGAACACCATACCTACTGTGAAGCATGGGGGTGGAAACATCATGCTTTGGGGCTGTTTTTCTGCAAAGGGACCAGGACGACTGATCCGTGTAAAGCAGGGGTGTCAAACGTACGGCCCGCGGGCCGGATCAGGCCCGCAAACGGGTTTAATCCGGCCCGCGAGATGATTTTGAAGAAAAATAAAATAAAAAATTATGTTGATGTGCTATTGTTTTTAATTGATTTTATTTTATTTGTATATTTAACCTATTCTTGACTCTGTGGTTCTTGCACTTGTTTGGGGAACAGGATTTCATTATTTGTATCTACATTTCTGCCTGAGAAATGACACCCTGATATAGTTCTGTGATCTGTGATATACTTCTGTGAATCACTGAGGCATTGTGTGTTTGTGTGTTCTTTGTCCTCAGAACTTTCAAATAACTTGAGGTGTTTTATGATTAATAGTGATGTTGTGCTTTTGGACACTGTCCTCAGGCTCCAGCTTTATGTTTATATGTTTTTATGTTGATGTGCTATTGTTTTTAATTGATTTTATTTTATTTGTATATTTAACCTATTCTTGACTCTGTGGTTCTTGCACTTGTTTGGGGAACAGGATTTCATTATTTTTATCTACATTTCTGCCTGAGAAATGACACCCTGATATAGTTCTGTGATCTGTGAAACAGTTCTGTTAATCACTGAGGCATTGTGTGTTTGTGTGTTCTTTTTCTTTAGAATTTTCAAATAAACTTGACGTGTTTTATGATTAATAGTGATGTTGTGCTTGTACTATTTTGGACACACTGTCCTCAGGCTCCAGCTTTATGTTGTATGTTGATCGTATTAAAACAAAGAAAACAATCTGAAGTTGTTGTTTTTAAGTTATATATACCATGATTTTTCCGGTCCGGCCCACTTGGGAATAGATTTTCCTCCATGTGGCCCCTGAGCTAAAATGAGTTTGACACCCCTGGTGTAAAGGAAAGAATGAATGGGGCCATGTATCGTGAGATTTTGAGTGAAAACCTCCTTCCATCAGCAAGGGCATTGAAGATGAAACGTGGCTGGGTCTTTCAGCATGACAATGATCCCAAACACACCGCCCGGGCAACGAAGGAGTGGCTTCGTAAGAAGCATTTCAAGGTCCTGGAGTGGCCTAGCCAGTCTCCAGATCTCAACCCCATAGAAAATCTTTGGAGGGAGTTGAAAGTCTGTGTTGCCCAGCGACAGCCCCAAACCATCACTGCTCTAGAGGAGATCTGCATGGAGGAATGGGCCAAAATACCAGCAACAGTGTGTGAAAACCTTGTGAAGACTTACAGAAAACGTTTGACCTGTGTCATTGCCAACAAAGGGTATATAACAAAGTATTGAGAAACTTTTGTTATTGACCAAATACTTATTTTCCACCATAATTTGCAAATAAATTCATTAAAAATCCTACAATGTGATTTTCTGGATTATTTTTTCTCATTTTGTCTGTCATAGTTGACGTGTACCTATGATGAAAATTACAGGCCTCTCTCATCTTTTTAAGTGGGAGAACTTGCACAATTGGTGGCTGACAATACTTTTTTTCCCCACTGTATGAGAGAGAGAGAGAGAGAGAGAGAGAGAGATGGAGGGAGAGAGAGAGAGAGAGAGAGAGAGGAGAGAGAGTAGTCGTATGAGAGAGAAGAGAGAGAGAGATAGACGAGAAGTGAGGATAGAGAGGACTCGATATCGCTTCTGGTTCATTCTCTCATCAGCTTCGTTTGTCAGTCTACGAGTGTTTCCCATAGAGTTGGCTCTGGTAGGATTAGACCCTATTTCTTCAGTACAAGCGAAAAACAGCAATTAGTGTCAGTCTACCCAGATTCTCCACCATCAGCACCTTCCCAGTCTACCCAGATTCTCCACCATTAGCACCTTTCCAGTCTACCCAGATTCTCCACCATCAGCACCTTCCAGTCTACCCAGATTCTCCACCATCAGCACCTTCCCAGTCTACCCAGATTCTCCACCATCAGCACCTTCCCAGTCTACCCAGATTCTCCACATTCAGCACCTTCCCAGTCTACCCAGATTCTCCACCATCAGCACCTTCCCAGTCTACCCAGATTCTCCACCATCAGCACCTTCCCAGTCTACCCAGATTCTCCACAATCAGCATCTTCCCAGTCTACCCAGATTCTCCACCATCAGAACCTTCCCAGTCTACCCAGATTCTCCACCATTAGCACCCTCCCAGTCTACCCAGATTCTCCACCATCAGCATCTTCCCAGTCTACCCAGATTCTCCACCATTAGCACCCTCCCAGTCTACCCAGATTCTCCACCATCAGCATCTTCCCAGTCTACCCAGATTCTCCACAATTAGCACCTTCCCAGTGGGTGCACACACACAGTAGCTTAATTGAGTGTGTATAAAACGTTTCCTCTCTAATTCTCTCTGATGATCTAGGCAGGCCAAAGCAAGCGAACACAGAGGAGTATCTCCAGGGGACAGACTTTCTCAATTGACAACGATCCAGAACCTTTACTATTGATGTGAAATTAACCACTGGATTTTCACTCTACTGCACTACTTCTGTTTAGATGTGCTGAGTGTGTGTGTGTGTGTGTGTGCTTGCGTGCGTGTGAGTGCGTGCATGCTTGCGTGTGTCTGTCTGTGTGTGTGTGTGTGTGTGTGTGTGTGTGTGTGTGTGTGTGTGTGTGTGTGTGTGTGTGTGTGTGTGTGTGTGTGTGTGTGTGTGTGTGTGTGTGTGTGTGTGTGTGTGTGTGTGTGTGTGTGTGTGTGTGTGTGCGTGTGTGTGTGTGCCTGCCGTTCTCTCATATCCAAATCCGTAATTGCTGCACCAGGGGCAGGAAGTCATTAAAAACATTTTGGTTTGTTGCCATGGCTGACGGCTGACGCTGATGCCTAATTGGATGAGGGCTGAGTGGCACATTTGAATGTGTTTGCTCTCATTTGCATATTAAGCCAGGGAAATGGGGCTGGAAGAAAACCACAAGTTGTGGCAAGATGACAATCAACACATCCTTTTATCCAATCAGGCCCACAGTGCTTTCCCTATGCACACATATATTTCCACATTATTCCATGTCTAATTCTTCACATAGTAAAATAAGCACCACCCGAGAGCTCTATTTCCATACTGTAGAAAGTTATGTCAATGGATGATATTGAAAAGGAACCTATTCAACGACAGAAATGGAAAACACAAGAGAAAACAAATTAGAGTGGAAAGCATTTCCCCCATAGCTAGGACCGAGTAGTTTTCCCAACCACATTATCTGAACAAGACAGACTCCAGGCCTAAGTTATGACATGTAAACCTAGGGTCTAAAGTTATAGTCTGTACAGTTAGGGTCTAAAGTTATAGTCTGTATAGCTACTAGAGTTATAGTCTGTATAGCTACTAGAGTTATAGTCTGTATAGCTACTAGAGTTATAGTCTGTATAGCTACTAGAGTTATAGTCTGTATAGCTACTAGAGTTATAGTCTGTATAGCTACTAGAGTTATAGTCTGTACAGCTACTAGAGTTATAGTCTGTATAGCTACTAGAGTTATAGTCTGTATAGCTAGGGTCTAGAGTTTTTCCTGGTCAGGTCACATGACAGCTAACTCACTCCCTTCACTTATGGGTGACCTGTTATGAGCTGACTCCAGAGCAGTCTCACCCAGACTCAGGTCTCATTAGCATAGGGGGACTTTCCATTGTTCTACTCTGATCCTAGATCAACCTTCGCTGCCTCCCGAGCCATCCAGCATTAGAGTTAATCCAGCCTTATTTGTCCCTGCTTCAGAGTCACAATGTTGTCTTATTAGCCTTCCTATAGTGGATCTGCACAGCAGCTGGGCTTGTGTACTGGGAGCAAATGGTTCCTATGGCTGAGCCACAGCTTGTATCCACAACAGCCTCCCGATCACACAATGACAATGGAGCATATTAGCTTTTAGCTGCTAGCTTGCTTCTGTGGGGCATACATTCAAGTTAGTGAATAGAGGGGGATAATTCCCTCTTGGCCGGAGGAGATGTACAACACGGCCATGTATTACTGTGGCTGGATTATGGCTTTGAATAATAGATTGGATTTGGAGAAGGTTGATGTACTTGATAGAAACCCAGTGATTATGCCAGATACTGAAGGCTGTAGGTGATGGTTAGGGGTATAGTAGCACTAAAGGTACGTCAACTCGTTCTATATGTACTGTATGGTCATCTAAGTTTAATTGGTGATTTAAAAAATACCACAGACACGTGAACATGCACTGGCGTATACACACACACACCTTCCCTCTCACCCACTGGCCCGGGGACAATAGATGAGCAGTGAGATGAGGTAGTGAGAGGAAAGCAGTTATCCCAGTAGGTTAGCATTGATGGCTCCCCTCCTCTCTTCTGTCTTCTGCCCCTCTCTCTCTCTCTCTCTCTCTCTCTCTCTCTCTCTTGCCTCTCTCTCTCTCTCTCTCTCTCTAACAGAGGACTCTTTGTGTTTGGGGTGGGGGTGGTGGAGGGCGACAGCGGGCGTAGCGCTGTCAGGGCACATACAGCTTTTTCAGGACACAGGCTGTACTTTTGACATGTGTCCGGAGACATTACCCCTGACGGGCCTTCCACCCCTCCCTCGCTCTACCCCCTCCCTCCACCCCTCCCTCCATCCCTCGCTCCATCCCCTGCCTGGCACTGTCTCCTCTCTTCACAGGGGTAATGATGTGTGAGACAGGTCAGGGGACCAGGGGGAGCGGGGCCAGATACTAGGCTTGGAACACATTGCTTTGTGTGAGACTCAATGGAAGGTAGACGGTGCCAGGAATAGACTGTGTGGGGTTTGTTAGTGTAGGCTGTGGGGGGTTTGTTAGTGTAGACTGTGGGTGGTTTGTTAGTGTAGGATGTGTGGGGGGGTTGTTAGTGTAGACTGTGGGTGGTTTGTTAGTGTAGACTGTGGGGGGTTTCTTAGTGTAGACAGTGGGTGGTTTGTTAGTGTAGACTGTGGGTGGTTTGTTAGTGTAGGATGTGTGGGGGGGTTGTTAGTGTAGACTGTGGGTGGTTTGTTAGTGTAGGATGTGTGGGTGGTTTGTTAGTGTAGACTGTGGGTGGTTTGTTAGTGTAGACTGTGGGTGGTTTGTTAGTGTAGACTGTGGGTGGTTTGTTAGTGTAGGCTGTGTTTGTTAGTGTAGACTGTGGGGGGTTTGTTAGTGTAGACTGTGGGTGGTTTGTTAGTGTAGACTGTGGGGGATTTGATAGTGTAGACTGTGGGTGGTTTGTTAGTGTAGGATGTGTGGGGGGTTTGTTAGTGTAGACTGTGGGTGGTTTGTTAGTGTAGACTGTGGGTGGTTTGTTAGTGTAGACTGTGGGGGGTTTGTTAGTGTAGGCTGTGTGGGGGGTTTGTTAGTGTAGACTGTGGAGGGTTTGTCTATTGTAAGCTTTGTGGGTGGTTTGTTAGTGTAGAATGTGGGTGGTTTGTTAGTGTAGGCTGTGTTTTTTTTTTGTGTAGACTGTGTGGCGGGTTTGTTAGTGTAGACTGTGGGTGGTTTGTTAGTGTAGGCTGTGTGGGGGGTTTGTTAGTGTAGACTGTTGGTGGTTTGTTAGTGTAGACTGTGGGTGGTTTGTTAGTGTAGGCTGTGGGTGGTTTGTTAGTGTAGGCTGTGGGTGGTTTGTTTTGTGGGCTTGTGGGGTTTTGTTTAGTGGGAGACTGTGGGGGTGGTTGTGTAGTGTAGGCTGGGGGGGGGTTTTTAGTGTAGGCTGTGGGTGGTTTGTTAGTGTAGGCTGTGGGGGATTTGTTAGTGTATACTTGTGGGGTGGTTTTGTTGTTAGACCCGTGGGGGGTTTGATTTATGTGTAAGACTGTGGTTGGTTTGTTTGTAGCTGGGGGGTTTGTTAGTGAGACTGTGGGTGGTTTGTTAGTTTTAGGCGTGGGTGGTTTTTGTGTAAGGTTACTGTGTGGGTTTGTTAGTGTAGACTATGGGTGGTTTGTTAGTGTAGACTGTGGGTGGTTTGTTAGTGTAGACTGTGGGGGGTTTGTTAGTCTAGGCTGTGTGGGGTTTGTTAGTGTAGATTGTGGGTGGTTTGTTAGGGTAGGCTGTGGGTGGTTTGTTAGTGTAGATGGTGGGTGGTGTGTTAGTGTAGGCTGTGGGTGGTTTGTTAGTGTAGACTGTGGGTGGTTTGTTAGTGTAGACTGTGGGTGGTTTGTTAGTGTAGGCTGTGGGGGTTTGTTAGTGTAGGCTGTGGGTGGTTTGTTAGTGTAGGCTGTGGGTGGTTTGTTAGTGTAGATGGTGGGTGGTATGTTAGTGTAGCTGTGGGTGGTTTGTTAGTGTAGACTGTGGGTGGTTTGTTAGTGTAGACTGTGGGTGGTTTGTTAGTGTAGGCTGTGGGTGGTTTGTTAGTGTAGACTGTGGGTGGTTTGTTAGGGTAGACTGTGGGTGGAGAATTGCCCACATGATCTCATTCTTGGGGGTAGTTACACTGTGTGATTTCAGGGCGCAGTCAGACGGAGAGCGAGTTTGCACAGATCCATGTTGATGGGACTAATTCTAAACATAATTGTGTTTGTGCGTGTGTCCCTGCATGCGAGATTGAGTGTGTATGAGAGTGTGTGTGTGTGTGTGTGTGTGTGTGTGTGTGTGTGTGCGTGATCCCAAGCCTCCAGTCATGCAGAAACTATGCTGCCTGGGTTTCTGTCACTGTGACTAATGGTGAACATGCATGTGAATAATGCACTGTGTGTATGTTGTGTGTGTGGTGTGTGTGGTGTGTGTGGTGTGTGTGTGTGTGTGTGTGTGGGGTGTGGGTGGTGTGTGTGTGTGTGGTGCGTGGGTGCGGCGTGCGTGTGCGTGCGGCGGGTGGTGCGTGCGGCGTGCGTGCGTGCGTGCGTGCGTGCGTGCGTGCGTGCGTGTGTGTGGCTGCACCTGTATCAATGTGTGTGTGCGTGGGCGTTTGCTTACTGGTGCAAACATGCCAACGTCTTGATGTGAGCTGTCATGTCCTATAGCCCAGAACAGATCACCATACAGCAAACAACAGCAGCGCAACATAACACAGGATCCCTACACACACTCACTAAGGCTATCAGGCCATCTCCCGAGTGGCGCAGTGGTCTAAGGCACTGCATCGCAGTGCTAGCTGTGCCACTAGAGATCCTGGTTCGAATCCAGGCTCTGTCGTAGCCGGCCGTGACCGGGAGACCAATGGGGCGGCGCACAATTGGCTCAGCGTCGTCTAGGGTAGGGGAGGGAATGGCCGGCAGGGATGTAGCTCAGTTGGTAGAGCATGGCGTTTGCAACGCCAGGGTTGTGGGTTCGATTCCCACAGGGGTATAAAAAAATAAAATTAAAATAATGTAAGTCGCTCTGGATAAGAGCGTCTGCTAAGTGACGTAAAAATGTAAATGTAAAATCTCCTGTAGAGCTGATTCTTCAGATATCACTGCAAGATGGTCTCATTAGAATATGTCAAAATGGTGACGTCGAACCTTTGTGGTTTTAAAATCGCCTACGCTGACATATTACGTTAACGTGCGTTTCATGATCAGATTCTAAACTCTGCTGGTTCAAAAATAGTAGGGGGAGAGCGCCCTGATGTAGATATACTCTGTGTTACCTATATGTAGGGCGGCAGGTAGCATAGCGATAAAGAGCGTTGGGCGAGTAACTGAAAGTTCGCTGGATCGAATCTCCTCGCTGTCTAGGTAATAAAATCTGTCGATGTGCCCTTGAGCAACGCACTTTAACCCTAATTGCTCTGGAGAAGAGCGTCTGCTAAAATGTGTCTGAGATGACATAGTTCACGTGACATGACTTATTTGTCCCTTTCATTATCTAGAATGAACTTGTACAAAACACTATAGCAGCCTACATCAGAACACCAGAGTAGACTAACTCTGAAGTTAATTGTCAGCCAGTGGCATCAAGGCTTCTAAATGGCTTGTTTTTGCCTCAGTTTCCCGGTTGCCTCTTTGCATACGCTATTGAGGTGTCCAAAATGTAGTCACGCCGATTTGCCTGTCACATTAACAGTGGCACCTCGCTTTTACCACCATGACCCTACAAACAAATGAGCTGTTTTCACACAAAGAGCTCCTTCCTCTTCGCTCCACCAGCCTCCGTTTCACCTCTCCTCCCCTCTCTCTCGACCCCTCCTCCCTCCAT